GGCTAAAATGATGCAGAAAATCACCCTGTCCTCAACAGTGGCATTAGCATTTATTGCTAAGCAGCGTATCCCTCAGAGGATGAAATGGAACAGAGAGCAACAAGAACATCAGTAAATAGCTTTGTTTGCCTGGGCAGTAGTTTTGGTTTTCTTGCTCAGGTTCTGCAGACTCCACAGGCCTCATTACCAGCCCCTCCGCATGCATTGGAATCAGGCTGGCAGCTGTTGGCAAAAAGGCCTGCTCCCTGCCTGTGGGAGTGAAGCCCTGCTGACTCCAGTGTGTACCATGGGCCTGGAATTTGCCTTTAGGTAGGTTTCTCTTGTCTCCTTGCTGATGAGCTGGACTGAGTGTGCAAAAAAATTTAAAAAAAAAAACCCTTCCTATGCAAATGTTACTTTCTTGGGAAGACTGAGGCCAGAGCTTAAGGAAGAACCTGTAAAAGGAGGATATGCCACGTGAGGCTCTTTAGCCATGTAAAACAATTATGGTTGGACAATTATATGAGCCTGAGATTTGAAAGAGTTCATTTTGTGACAGTTGTATAAGTGACTGTGTCAGTCAGCTGTCACTCTAATACCTGAGAGAATCAGCTTTTATAAGAAAAGGTTTATTATGGCTCACAGTTTATAGATTCTAGTTCATGGTTAGGTGGACTCATTGCTTCTAGGCCTCTAGCTGGGGTTTGGATGGTATTGGTGGGGAGTAAAACTGCTCACTTGATGGCCAGGAAACGAAAGGTTTCCTGAGAGTGAGAGGAAGGACTGGGACCCCACAATCCCCTGCAGGGACATGCCCCTCTGACCTGAAGATCTCCCACTAAGGCCCCACTTCTTAAAGGTTCTACCACTTTCCGGTAGCACCAAGATGGGGGGACCAAGTCTTTAACACATGGGACTTTGGGGGACATTTAAAATCCACACTGTAGCACAAAGTAACTCATTTAGGAAAAAACTGAACAGACATAGAATGGCTGTCATTCATTCTTTCATTCATTCATTCATTTCACAAGTACTTATTGCAACCTTACCATGTAGTAGGCACTATGATAGACATGTAGGGAATTAAAAACGGAAAGAAACAATATTTTCCCCTAAGGAACTGAGAGTCTCGTGGAGAAATAATTTTATAAACATTACAGACAATACAGTAGCCCTTAGAATGGAGATTTAGGAAAGCAGGGAAATGACATGATCAAAATTGCAGTGAAATCATTTTGGGGGAGAGGATGAGTTCACGGATAGACTTGGGGAGATCCTGGCGATGCGAGAGATGGAAAGCACAGCATGGCAGTGGGAATGCAGAAAAGGGCAGGTCAAGACTTTGGAGGAAAAATTATCTGGTAAATTTGGTGATTGGCTGCAAAGTTAAACGAGACAAGGAGGTTTCTAGAGTCCTGGCTGTTGACTACTGAATGAGAATAGGTTTAGGAGCAAAGAAAATTACTTAAAAAATTTCAGGTGATATTGTTCTAGGAACCTTGAGATATACAGCATGAGATTTAGGAGGAAGATCATGCAGAGATGGAGAGAGGGAGAGAGAATTCCAGGTCATTAGAATATGGACAGCCATGGAAGCCGTGGGCGTGGACACGATTTCCTAGGGGAATGAACTTGGCCAGAAGATGTGTGAACCAAGCTAAGACAGTCACCAGACTGTGAGAGAACCACCTAGAATATGGCATAAGGGCTCATTTTTTTCTGAAATACCCCTACAAGAAGCAGAGAGCATGAATGGGATTGGAAAACCACCTTATAGAATTTTCTTTGTTCTTTTGCAGCAATCCTTAATTGGGCAGACTTAGGGGGTCTTAATATTGATTTCATTTACCCCTAACCTTCCTTCTGAGGAACTTTCCAGTTTCCCATGTGTCTTCTGAAATTTCTTTTCATGGGACAAATGGAGCAAAGATGACTATATTATAATATAAGAACCTCTGGACCTAAGAATTTAGGATGATAGTATTTCCCAAGTGCCAATAGCCAGTTGTTATATGAGCGGAAGTAAAACTTAGATGGAGATGGAGGGAGTGAGGCAGGAGGGGAGGGGAAAGGCATGAAAAAAGAACTGAGATGTGTTGTTGTGTACATGTTCCAGCTCCCCGGGAGGAATATAGTCATATGTGCCGCAAACATGCCCTAATAAAACATGAAAATTGAAGCCAAGTGTGGTGGCGCTCACCTGTAATCTCAGCATTCAGGAGGCTGAGGCAGGAGGATTGCCGTGAATTTGAGGCCAGCCTGGGCTCCATCGTGAGTTTCATAATAAGCTCAAGGTCAGCCTTAAGTACATAGGAAGAGCCTGTCTCAAAGAAGAAAAAAAAAGAAAATTGAACAAAAAATAAGGGTTCAGGTTGCTTTTGCCATGTGACTGTTGCCTGAGGCCACAGGATGGATCAGGTGATAAAGATGTCTCTGAGACCCTTGAGCAAGGCAGCATGCCAGACTGGGTGCTCAGTTCCTCCCTTCTGTGGGTCAGCTGATCCAAGGGCACTCTCCTCACCCGTCTCCTGGGGTGACTGTGGTCCTTTTGGTGTCTGTGTCATGACAAGAGATTCTGTATTTGCCATCCATGGCTCTGAATGGTTCCTTTTTCCACCCTGTTATCACTCTTCTCCCTTCTCTAGTATTCTTTTTTATTTTAGCACTTACAGAAAGCTATGTCTGTTGGCTGTCTCTCTTTGAAGTTTTGAGTTGCACTAAAATATTTATAATGTGTGGACAAGCACTTGAAAGGCATTTTAGTTTCCTTAAGATGCCTGTCTTGACTTTCTGAAGCCTTTTGATGATAGGAACTGGCATAGGCTTTCAGGTCCAGGGTTGCTTAATTTTGGGAACACCTTTTTGACATCATCCAGCAATTGTGTCCCCATTAAAGAATCGGTCTCAGCTTCCTTTTCTGGGGACTGAACTGGGCTGTTGGCTACTTCTTGGTTATTTGCAGATATCATGTTGGTGGTAGGCTCAGCAATGGCACTTAGGTGGCACTTTGATGGCTCTTGCAGGGCTGGCTTTGGCTGGCTCATGTGTGAGTGGAAGACAGCAGTGGAGAGCTGGAGTTCTTGATGTCTTGTGACCCAAGGGGAAGTGCTGGGTTCCATGCTGTGTCTCCTTGAGTGGCCCGTGAGTCTCTACAGACTGAAGAAGAGATGCCAGCAGAGGGATGTGGCATTTGGTAGTCCAGGAACCAAGTATCCCTCCTGCCTTGTGAACTCCCTGAAGATGGGACTCATGCCCTGTTTCCTCCTATCCCCAGCCTGGTGTGCTGGCGGGCATGCTGGAAGCCAACATACTTATTTGTTAAATGGTGGAAGCTGAGCTGCAGCTGATAATAGGCTCAGTAAAGAATGACTCTTTAATGGGGAGTAGTACAAACCAAGAGAAGAAGATGAGAGGAACTCTCAGAATCAGAGATGGCTGTGTGGTGTATATTCTCCATGTTGGAGTCAAATCTAGAGTCTAAGGATAGCATCTAAAATCTAAAAACTGATGTGTGGATGAGACTTCTCATATAGCTGCTTCCTTACTGTGGAACCTCTCCTATATGATTGGGTTAACAAAAATATTCTAAATAAGCAATACATCTGAAGCTTCTTGAAATCAAATAGTTTGGTGGCTTGAAAAAATATGCCACTGGCTGTGGATTGCGTTTAAATGCCATTCTCCTGATTTCTCACATTATCTTCAATTATGCAGTGAATGTGAGAATAAATAAGTGAACTATGAAATAACCAAAGGATAAAATACCATATGGTCATTAAAAATAACATTTTCAAAAGCGTTTATTGGTAAGGGAAACTTCTCATTGTGTAATGTTACACGAAAAAGCAATAAACTATATCTTGGCACATATAGAGGCCAAATAAATTCCCTTTGAAGGAATGAGCATTTCCTTTGAAGCTTTATATCTGTGCAAAAAAATGTAAGTCTGCTGATGGATGTGTCTCCTGACTCTTTAAGTGAAAAATCATGGACTAGTGACGAAGACATCTGATGTAGTCTTTAACCCTTTGGGGGCTGTTTCTTTTCTGTAGACTGAGGTGGTAGGCTGCTGTGGAACGGTCCTCAGGTGCCTTTCAGGTTCCACGTGCTCTGAGTCGTGTCCAGTGGCTGTCTGCACAGAGCAGCTGTCACTGAGAAGGATGCCACCAGGCGAGGCTCACATGGTTCATGTCACTTTGCCAACTGAGACTTGATCAACCTTGACCTCCCATTGTTTCCCATCATTTTATGACTGTCTTGAGTTTCCACCTCCCCAGCTGCTCCCTGCTGCTGCTGCTGGGTAAAGAGGCCTCTTGATTTATTCATCAGTTAATCTGTGCATGCTGAGGAACTTTTCGGGGTGGTTAAACAGGGAAAACAAAATGCTGGAGCCCATAATCAAGATGGATCGTAATTAAGAATGGCCCCCCAGCAGTGATCTTCCTGTGCATGCCGGCCGCCCACACCACCCTCCTCACCCACAGCCCATTGCACCCCATTCACTTCTCATGGGCTTTGGTTCCATGAAAGCTCACAACAAATTTCAGAAAGGCAGATTTTCTCCTAATGGCCTAGAAGGACATGATCCTTGAGATGGGCCTCATCAGTTATTTGCAACAGCTGTTGAACCTCAAAAGTTCAGCCATACCCTAAAGCTGCCACAGTGGCTCTGTCCGTACAGGCAGGTACTGTCTTTTCCTGTCCCAGTTCCCCCACAAATGGAGCCATGGAGCTAGAAAGACATTACAACAAGCAGAATCCATGGCCTTGTGTGACAAGTGAGAGACTCAGTGAAATTAAGTAAACTGTCAGAGGTCACACAGAACTCCAAGGTTATAAGTGGCAGAGCTGAGTAACCCTACTTTCTTATGAAAGGTACAACAGTGCAAACAAGGACATCATCCTCATTAAATCCACTTTCTGATTTCTTTTAGCAGGCTTGGTTCGTAAACGAGACATCTGAATTGCATGGACCAACCTTCAGTTACAGGCTCTCTTTTCTCTGCTTGTGTCTTCTCTAGGACCCTGCTTTCTCCGCTGTGATTCATGAGAAACTCCAGGTCCCCAACACCATCCGAAAGGCCTGGAATGACCGAGATAACCGCTGTGACATTTGTGCCACACACCTGAACCAGCTGAAGCAGGAAGCCATCCAGATGGTGCTGACGTTGGAGCAGGCAGCTGGCAGTGAGCACTACAGTGCCTCACCTGGATCACCCCCTCCGCTGTCCAACATGCCCACCCTGGTAGGGTCCCGGCACGTGAGTGGTGGGCTCCAGCAGCCCAGGGATTGGGCCTTTGTGCCTGCCGCCTATGCCACCTCCAACTACACAGGCCTTGTCAACAAGCACAGCAGCAAACCCAGCAGCCTTGGAGTCAGCAATGGGGCAGAAAAAAAGAGTGGGTCCCCCACCCACCAGCCCAAGGTCAGCCTCCAGATGGCCACCAGTCCCAGCAATGGGAATATCCCCAATGCTGTGGCCATTCAGGCCCACCAATACCTGGATGGCACCTGGTCTCTTTCAAGAACCAATGGAGTCACGCTGTATCCCTACCAGGTAAGTACTTCCATGAGGAAGAAAGAGCAGGGTTGGATAGAGTCATAGAAGAGAAGTAGACAGCACTTCCTTTCTCTACCCTTCTCCTGTGAACTCCCCAGCCCAGACCCTAATACACCCTCGTGACCCACATAACTCTGTCACCAGGGTGAAGCAGCCAGACCAACCTGCTTTGAGACTGCATCTTCCAAACCTTCCACTTGTGCCTGCTCTCTGCTCATTCAGCATCTTCTTCCTAAGAGACCCTGTTGGTCCAGGCAGTGCCAAGTGTCTCACTTCTATCAGGTCTACTGCACGGTGTGGCATTTGGCAGTGTAGGATTACAGAGTAGGCCCTGGAAATAGTGGGACTGAGGTTCAGACCTGTCCACTTATGAGCAGTTTGACTTTACACACACGGTTTGCTCAACCTCAGGTCCAAATCTCTCAGTTAGGAACTTATAAGACTCTCAGTAGTGAGAATAAAATAACATGATGTAGGTAAGATACATAGTCTAATATCTCGTATATGATAAGGGATTGTTTTGCCTATTAAAAGAGATTTTAGAAATTAAGACATGAATCAGATAGTTTTGAACTAAAGAATATGGAAGAGTCGCTAAAATCATGGTTTTAATGCAATCTGTTGCTAGGGCTGGACATCACTAAGAATAAAATATATGAGGAACCAGTGACCTGGGTTAGCACTATGCTTCCTGTAAGTGTAGACACCTTTTCTTTCTTGCTTGCTTTTTTTTTTTTTTTGGTACCAGGGATTGAACTCAGGACCTTGCACTTGCGAGGCAGGAGGCGGAACCACTGAGCTAAATCCCTGGTCCGCATAGACACCTTTTCTAACCCTTCTGCCTTGACAGACCTTAGGTGTTTTCCACCTGAAACTTACCTTACATTCTGTTGGGCCTAGGTGACCAAAAGTGTTTTCTCTTTTCGCTGATTTAAATTAGTACGTACCTTCACATCTCCCCATAGGAATGAGAAAGCGGGTCTTAAATCTGCCAGAGGATTTTAAAGAATTGTTCTGATTTTTCTTGGGTGAGTTTTCTATTGGATGATGGTTGGACTTTGTCCCCTGTGTCATTTGTATGAGGAGTAACAGAGGGTAATGATTGTCACTGGGGTACAGAGGTCACCATGGCTGTGGGGTGTCTTTGCCTGGGGAGATAATTGGTGTAACAAATGACCCTAAAAATCTCCTGTGATTTCTCACCTGTCTGTGCCCCACCATAGGGCAGGTGGCCTTCTAGTGATCTAGGGACTCAAATGTCTTCCATTAAATATGTCACTGTCTTCTAGAGCCCTCAGAGTCCTCCACAAGATCTTCTGAAATCAGCCAAGCAATGAGGAAGAGAAAGAATGGGGGATCTAACAAGGGGATTTGGTTGGGGCCCATCCTAGCCTGGAAAGAGTTTACTTCCATCCATATTTAAGTGATAAGAATCCAATGTCCTGGTCCCACTTTCTTACAGAGGAAGCTGAAAAGCCAACCTGCCTCGTGGCCAGGAGAAAAATAAACAAGTTAGTGTATATATAACATAGTTTTATTTCATGGAGTAAAGGTACAGGGGGATATAAAATGAGTTAAATGTGGCTGGTAAAATTTCTGATGGCTTTTCTAGAGAGTCTGAGAAGAATATAGATTGCGTCTCCTGATGTCTTAAAAGAAAATGAGGAGCACTGATCATTCTTCTAGGAAGTTTTTGGACTGCCGAGCTCTTCATTTACTGGGTGCTTTGTAGTTGCCAAAATATAATGTACACATTACATTTTGACCTGTGGCCACACAGCCAGTGACAGGCTAGCACCAGCCCTCTCCACACCCCAAGAGAGTGGGTTTCCCTACAATAGCTGCTTCCAACTTTCCTAGGTTCCACTGAGCAGTAACCTGTCAACATCTTTCCCAAATATGACTCCTACTCAGGCCTGGCATACCAAACAGAAGGAATCCTGCATCTGAGCTGCCACTTACCTCTTGGATGGAATTTCCATGTGGTTTATATAAATAGAATAAGGAACTCATGGCATCTTAGGGGTGCATTATCATTTAATCTTGAAAATAACAGCCCAAGGTAGTGTGTTAGTCAGCTTCCCCTCACTATAAGAAATGATGACCAGAGATGAAAGATTTGTGTTGGCTCCCCGTGTTGGGAGTTTCAGTCCATGGTTTTGGGCCTGTGATGAGGCAGTACATAATGTCGGGAGCCTGTGTTAGAGCAAATGAGAGTGAGGAAGGGGCCAGGGTCCCACAAGCCTCAAGGGCACAGTAACCTGAAGACCTCATAACAGGCCACACCTCCCAAAGGCCCCACCCCCTCCCAACTGTACCACTCTGGAAACAAGGCCTTTAACTCTTGAGCTTTTGGAAGGACTGGCAAGAGGCAACCTGTTAGTGGCCAGGAATAGAATATGGCTTTTTTTACATTGTGAGAGGATAGTTTTTTTTGTTTATAATTCTAAAAATACCTGTATGTTATTTTGAAAATTATAGGAAGCCATACATGTTTGTTATAAAATAAACTATATGAGAAAGCTTAAATAAGACTTTTTAAAAGTCTGTATCACCCCAAAACTTATGTAATATTTGGATATATTCCTCCTGAGAGATTTTATATACTCGCAGTTTATAAAATTGTGACTAGTCTCAATTTTATGGCCTGCTTTTCATCTACTAGATCGGATACATTTTCCCATACCGTTGTGTATATTTCTAAAATATGATCTTTAATGGTAGCATCATATTTCATTATAATAATATTCTATACTCTCTACATGTATCCTGACTCATATAGCCAAGCATCAGTTCGAGTTCAGGCTTTTGCTTCTGTGACTAAAATGGTCACGTGAACATTCTTCTACACAGGTGGTCTTTTCAGCACTTCCTGCAGTTGTGCGAGCCACACCCCTCTTACACAGACAGCTCGCACTTCACTGCCATGCCCCAAGGGCCTTGGCACACGTATCAGGGACCAGGCAGAGACTCAGACCCTGCACCGGTGCTGGTGAGCCCAGGCAGAAGGGCTCAAAACTGGTGCTTTGATAAGATATTCGCAGTGTAGTGAAGATCTGTGGGAGGCAGAAGTCCTGAGGATGCTGCTTGACAGGAAGATTGGGACTGGTGGTGCATTTCTTCTAGTTTTGCAATAATTCACTTCCCCTTCTCCCATCTCGGGTGAAAGCAAATTTCTTGTACAAGAAGAAGTAGTTTTAAAGCTCTAACTAAGTGCGAGGCGCTGCGCAAGGTGTTGGGTGGGTGGCATCTTGGGCTGGAGACCCAGGTGTCCTGTCCTACAGGCTTCACAGCGAGGGAGGGAGCAGGCAGGTGAGTGCAGAGGTGAGAGCACCGAGAGGGATGGGAGTGCAGCCCCACAAGGCAAGGATGGGTTGATGTGACTTAAAGCCAGATGCAAAGATGACTCACGAGAGCCACCAACTTGAGATGGTGCCGGATTCATTTCATTGCCTCTTTCCAACTGCAGAACAGACTAATCCATGCATTTTCCCTGAGTAATAGTGAAAGAGACCTGCGGGAATCTCTCTGAGATAAAGAGCTTTGGGGCCCCGCTATGAATGGGGATCCCCTGGGTGGTGACTATGTCATCCCCATACCCCGGGCTGGGGTCTCTGGCCCTGGCCAGACTGAGTGTCTCCCACTGTGGACATCTCCCTGCAGTAAATATTCTGCAGTTCACGGTGTAGCCGGCTCATCAGAGACACTTGACTGCTCCGAAAGCTGACCCCATTTTTCCTGCTCACCCACGCTTCTCCCTCCCTCCCCACAGAACAAATCACCTCTGGATTGGTGCCAAAGCCATTCCCTGGGCAGAGAGGCATCTAGGTGTGGGCACTACCGAGGGTGCTGCTCCTCGCCTCGGAACCTGAGCCCGTGGGGACGAGAGAAAAGAGGAAGTTTGCCTTTCTGAACTGAGAGGCTGTGAGGATGAAAACAGGGAGCCTGGCAAAACCTTCAAATGGGCTGCAAAAGGAGCCCTCAGATCCCTCAAGCCTCCTGTCACCGTGTAATAATCCGCCATGGCCACCGTAGGGAGATGCTTGGCTCTTTTTTCTATTTATCTTTCGTGTTTCTAAAGAAACTCCACAAAGAATAGGAGCTTATAAGCATCACAGATAAATATGATTCTATCTAGAGGGGTAAGAAAAACATGAGGTGCTGAGAGTACGTCAAATATTGTGCAAACCACAAAGAAAAGTTCTCATTAAATATCGTAGCAAATTGATATCATAGAAGAGGAGAGGAGCAGCCCTTTCAAGAAAGCATTTCTTCATTTAACTTGGAGACAGCATAATCTACACATACATACAGAAATCAGAAAATACTCTCAAATTTTCATTTGGCCACATGAATTTTGACTTAGAAAAGACATATCTAGATTAATTCCTCATAATCATCCATAGATTAATTACCTCTTTTTGAATGGCAGCTGCTGTAGCCTGATTTATACTCATTATAGTAACAACTGCAGGAGAGACTGCACATGCAATGCTCGGAATCTTAGGTTGTTGCTGTTAGAATACATTTTTTAGGACAGTAACTCACTCTTGCACCATGGTAAGAGATTTGGAGACAGAATCTTAGTTGTGGCTCCACCAGCTGTTAATAACAGTTTAGTAGCTTAGCATCTGGAAATTCCTACCTCGTGAGGTGATTGTAGGAAACAATTTTTTTAAAATATGAAAATAGTTTATAAACTGTAAAGCAGGGATACTGATATGAATGATCTATTTCAAATCTCTCCTTTATCAGAGGAGAAACCTGAAGCTGAGAGATTTAAAGTTTCTTTGGTTCAGAATGTCCTAAACTCTAGTTTGATCTCTTTTGCTAGATTAGAAAACAAGAATCTATTTTATTCCCAAGTCCCTGACAACAGATAACATGTGCAAAGTAGAGAAAGCTCAAATTTAAGGGAAGTACAAAAGGTATTTCCCATGACTGGCCCGAAATGTAGGAAAAAAAATTTCAGGGCATATGACCTAGGGTCATGAAAA